ATATCTCTATACATCTTGCAGTTGTTAATAAATAATATTGATTAATAACCGATTAATGATTGATGACGATAATTTAACATATTGTTTAATAACTGGCTTTGATGTCGAATAATATTAAAGCCGATTACATTGATAATTATAGATCAATACCAATTATTATCAACATCAATCGTTAAATCAATACCAGTCAATACCGAGATTCTGAGGTTCGTCTGTCGTTATCTGTTAATTTCAATAATTGTTCGAACTCTGCGGAAATTTTACATATTTTTTCCTGAATTAAGACGTTAACGTCGAGGAGGTCTTCGAGCGCAGGATAAAATTTACAAAAGGAGTCCCTTAAGTAACGCTTGCTTGAAAAAGAGGAACACAGAGAAGAGACCGAGGATAAAAATACAAATAGTAATGAAAACAAAAAATAGGTGTTATTTTTAGATGTCTATTAGATTACCAGAAATCAGAAAAACTAAAGGATTAAAAAAAAGATGCTTAAGCAGAAAAAGGAATAAAAAAATGGACAACCTACTATTAATACTACTATTATTACTACTACTATTACTACTATAACTATTACTATTATCGCTGCTATTACTACAACTACTACTACTACTACACTACTATTACAGTACTCGTAATAAGGATTTAAAGGATGTAGGTAAAACTTAGTTGATGCGATTTTTAGCAGGATACGAAATAAATTTAAATTTAATTTTCTATTAATCGAGTAAGATTTTAATTTTAGCTCGATTGTTTAATGTAAGAATTTAATCTCGATTTGTATGATCATGAGTTAAATTCGAATCTTTTTAAAATTTTAATAATATGTAAATTAATTTTAAATTTGATTTTCCAACAATATGTTAATTTTTAAATGGCCTGTTTTTTTTTTTAAATCTGCTCATTTAACTCATAATTTATACATATATAAGATTTTTTAAATCACAATAGATAAATGTAGAAAATAAATTGGAATTTAATTCTGAAAATATTTAAATTCTGATTTAATTTTATGATTAATGCAAAGACGTATATTAAATCACAATATATATAGCGTGAAATATATAGATTATATATATGTTAGATTTGAATTTAATTTCTCGATTAACACAATCTTGAATTAAATTTCAATTTTACTTTGACAGTATGTGAATTAAATTTGAATTTAATTTCGATTAATCCTTTGGAGTGTCGCTTGGGGACATCTTTTTCATCGTTCGACGTTTTGTCGCTTTTATTATTTAGATAATTAAAGGGAAATGGAGGATAGGCACATTCACACTGAAGAAGTGAGTGTGGCGATAGATTTTTCACAAGTCCTTGAAGGCCGAGATCGATTTTCGGTCACACCTCGAAGATCGTCCTCCTTTAAGGTGTTCCCTTTTTCGGACACCATTGAAAGAAAAAAATTATTATTGCAACATAAATTTTGCAAGGTTTTATCCTTTATTAGCATTTTTGAACTTGGGTATCCGAACAGCTCATTTTAAGTTATTTATAATAACAAGCTGTTGGTGTCTCACATTTTTAAAACAGTGGTTATATATAATACTTATATAATTGAATGTTTATGTAATACCTTGTGTACATCGAAGTGATGTACTTGTAAAGAATGGACTAATAAAAAATAATAAGTTAGGGAAAACTTAGAGAAAGCTGTCGGTGTATCAACATTTTTGTGGGCGCGATAATTAATCCCTGTACGTGAGAGAAGCGATGTTCTTGTAAAAGAAAAATAAAGAATATGAAGCAAGTTAGAGGAAGAAACTATTTGATAGAAGTAATAATATAGAAGCACGATAATGTGAAAAAAAAAAAGGTAAAACGAGAAAGAGGAACGAGAGAGTGGGGAGAGGAGGGCGAATTTTGCGTGGCGATACTCCTTCAGATGAAAAGTGCGGTCCTTTTCTCGGTCGTTGTTGAGCCATGCGAGTTTCACGCGAGAAGATGAGAGTTCTCACCCAATCTCTCATTCCTCCATGAAATACAACAAAACAAGACGATGGGAGGATGATCTTCGAGCAAATTTGGCATGATAAAAGAGAAGAAGGGGAAAAATAATAGTATGAGGGCGATGATAATAATGGGCAGTGATAAACAAAAGGAAAGTGATAATAATGGGATGGAGAATTTTCTCACTAGACGAGAGACTGACTCTATGTTGAGGGTTGTTCCAAAGTTTCGTCAATTTTTGCGTAGCAACTTCCGATTCCCGAGATTCAAAGATCCTCAGATTCCGATGATTGAAAGATCTAGAGATTCAAAGATCCATAGATTTCCAGCGAGAAAATAAAGGGCGAAGATAGGGAGAAATTTATCATTTTCATGTAGAAACTAATGATTATACCCTCGTAAAGTTTTAGTTTTGTCCAGGATCTAGGATTTTTGTATGGATTAAGAAATCCGAAGATCTTAAAATACAAAAATTTAAGAATTTTCATTTAAATTGTCATTGTTCGTTTAAATCACGATTCAATCATTGATAGATTGACAGTCCAGAGGAGATCCCCGAGAATCTTGATTTTGATTTCCTTCGAAATCTTCGACTCGCGTAAAGTAGGATGATAGGAGGAGTATTGGAGATCTAAGGCTTAACCCAACAAATAGATCAAAGAACTCTCAAAGATCCAAAAGTAGAAAGTTAATAGTTTATACTTTATTTAAAGTAGAAAGATAAGTATCTTAGGATTTAGATATCCAGGGATTTTACGGTTACGCGCAAAAATTGGCGGGCATATTGTTAATACAAACGATCCAACAACAGAAAAGTAAATAAATTGACGATAAGATCACTTTGATAAACAAGCTAATAGCAAAGCAAAAACAAAAAGAAAAAAAGAAACGAATTGTAATAAGTAGGATGAACTGTATACTCGTCGGTTATTTTCCTTAGCTCGGATTAATGACAGTTTAACAATGTCATGTCGTCCAGTGATACGTGTCGGATGTTTGCCTGAAAATCTAAAATTTGCATCTCGAAGCGTGTCCATTGGTTATTCGAAGTAGAGTGAAATGGAATAATTGTATAATGGACATCGGAGTGATTAAAACATTTTTGTGTTTTATTTTTGATAATTTTTTTAATAAAAAAAAAAAATACAATTTTTCAATTGTTTTGAATAATAAAAGAAATTAATTTTTTTATTGCTTTAAGCAATAATTTAATTTGACCTAACTAATGTATAAGTATAAGAAAGCAAATTCTGGTTATATTTGATATACAGATATCCATTTCACTTTACATGAATTGCGAGAAATTAGAGTCGATGAGAGTGAATGAGAGAATGAAAAAAGAGAGATAAAGAGATAGAAAGAGAGAGAGAGAGAGAGAGAGATTTGAAAGAAACAAATAAATATAGCGTTATAATGTAATATTTAAACGAATGTGCAAGTGTGTGAGTGTAGGGTTTTAGACAATGAAATATGTTTAAGACCTGCGAGAAAGAATTTTACGAAAAAATGAGGAAGCTTAAGCGGAGGTGAAAATACAATTATCGAGCGCAACACGATGGTCGCAATAAGTCAGTGATAAAACGAGAATATTGAGAGCGATGCAAAATGTTAGCATTCTGGGAATCGCTATTTTAAAGTCATAGAACGTAAACCTGTAAAAGGAAGAGAAAGATAAGATTGACAACATCCCTTTGAACGAATGTTTAAAGCGTTTTGTGCGATGATTCCGAAATGAAGTGAAGAGAGAGTACGATCAGTGATTTGAACATTGATTGATTGAATGAGGAAAGCATTTCTGTCAATTCGTCGATACTGTCGCGATATTCGATGATCGATAGTGGTTAATGCTTAGATGGAGATGGATGCGTGGGAGAGATTATATTGATTATTGCGAATTATTACGGTTAAAATATGCTAATTGGTTGACTGTCGTTGAGCGAAGTGAGACGACTATTAAAAAAGAAGAAGAAGAAAAAAAAAAGAAGGGCAACCATCACTTATTATATATTATTGTACATATTTACCTGTAATTGCTATTCGTATCGCAGAGGTTCTGTTCTCTCAAGATCATTTCTTCGATGATTCAGCGGAAAAGAAAACAACAAAAAAAAATGTGAATAAAGTTAGATTTGTGTATTACTAAACCAATCCCTCTTCTCATCTTCGTAGAATAAGGAATAATATTATAGTATATATAATAAGATATTTGAAAATAGAAAAAAGTTAACTATTGCATTATTAAGATGTCGAATTTCAAACGTTTGAATTTTATATAATACTATTATAAAGCAAAGATATATCGCAGAAATTTATAAAATTATAGAAAATCTATTTAAAGATTTAAGTACATGATTCTTTGATAAAAATATACATCAAATTTTCTGAAATACACTTGTGGCAGCTTAAAAGAGAGATTATAATAATTTTGTAGAAACATAATTTTATAGAAAATTGGAAGGAATAAGTACATTACTTTATAAATTACTTTATGAATCAGTATTTAAATCTATAAGAATTAAATTTTGCAAATTGTGAATCAGATTACAAAGAAGTTTAGGATGGTTCCTACGGTTAAAAATCGATAAAGCATTTCTTACGCGCGATGGTTGATCAACTTTCCGCTTCTGCGAAAAAAATATGTAGCGAATAATATAATCGATTGATCGCTTACCGTATTGCTTTACGTGCAAGAGCCTTGTATCTCTATCTATTTCTCGGTTTTCTCGCTATGCCAAAAAATTTCACACTGCACTAGACGCCAAAAATATCTTCCCACATTTTGAATGATCGACATTTATTCGTATTTAATTTTATATAGCATTCTCGATGTATATATCACATCCGATATCCAATAGAAAGATTCGTTTTTTGGGAACAAGAGAGTCGTTGGCTGCGGTCGGGAAGACGCTACAAATGCTTCGAAGCGTTTGATTGACCAATTAGAACAAAAAGAGTAAAAATTTCTTTATTCTGATTGGTTAAAACAATGCTTCGAAGCATCTCTAGCGTCTTCCCGACCGCAGTCGTTAGCTAATATCTCTAGAAAGGGCATATTCTCATTGGTCATTGCAAATAGTAGATGAATCCTCCAGTTCGCGGCAGGTGGCGCATCCACGCGAACTTCTTATTGGTCAGCGATGACTTTTGAGATAACATGGTAGCAATCGACGCACGATGCGCACATCGCAAACACGTCAGTACGCTGCGCGACTTCGTGACGTGTGTGTCGTTGTTGTGGTTTGGCAGAGTCTCGGGTCGATTCAACTGTGACGGAGGTGCGGTCAGTCGTCGATGCTATTTCGAGTTACGAGCGCGCAAAATGGCGCCAACGCGTGTAATTCTGATGTCGTGCGGCAGCTATAACCCACCGACAAACATGCATCTGCGAATGTTCGGTACGTATATAATGATTCGCCTTCGCCGTCATTTCTTTCGAATACTTAGCGCTGTTTGTATTGAACAGCGAATGTTGTCACGTCATCTTCTGTCATTGCGCGTGACGTCATATCGTTGTCACGCGTACGAATTGTGTTGTCGACGCGTTTGCGTAATGCGACTTATTCCAGTTATCTATTCTTATATATTTTCTTTTAATTTTTATCTTCAATATGTAATTGGAAATATATACTTAAATATAAATTACAATAATTGTATGCAATATAAATTTTTTTAGTTCTATATTTATATATATGCAGTATTTATATATACATTATGTATTTCAGAAATTGCTCGAGATCATTTGCATCGAATGGGAACACATATTGTTGTTGGTGGAGTGATTTCACCGGTGCATGATGCATATGCCAAGAAGGAACTGGCCAGTGCGACACACAGATGCGCAATGTTGCGATTAGCATTGCAGAATAGCGATTGGATTCGACTGAGTACATGGGAGACTAGACAAAACTGCTGGAGCAAGACTCGCTTGTGCTTGCAACACCACCAAAATCTGCTCAATTCCATGCTATGCAATTCCAATGATATCAAACATCACTTGCAGATGGATGATATAGAATGGATTCCAGAGAACATTAAAAACAGTTCGGATAATACACCAATACAAATCAAATTACTGTGTGGTGCAGATCTTTTGGAAAGTTTTGGCATTTGTGGACTTTGGCTTGAAGAAGATGTGAGTTATATACAGAATATATCAGAAATAATTGCTTTGGAAATGGATGTTTACTGATGAATCTTATCATGTAAAATATATATATTTTTTTTTAATAAGACTTTAAATTTATTTCATTTCTATAACTTCAAATTTACAGCTCAGAAATAAATTCTTTAGTTGCAAATTATTGCACATAGCAGTATAAAATTTGAATAAAATAATAAAAGTAAAAAAAAAAATCAATTGATCTTTTTGTTGCAGATTGACACTATTGTTGGTGAGCACGGTCTTGTGGTTATTACTAGAGAAGGTTGCAATCCCAACAAGTTTATCTACGACTCGGATATTCTCTCCAAGCACATGGTAAATATAATAAATTATATTTCTTTTTGCTGAAAACTCTTGTTAAATTATGTTTGTTTGTGCACCATAGCATATTGCGCTTATTAAATTATTATTATGGTATAAGACACTAAAAAAATTATATTTTATTAAATATTTGTTTATGGTATTTATTCTAATTATTGGAAACTGCAAGTGTTATACTGTAAAAGAATTTTGTGTTAGGATAAGTTGATAGATTGTCTGTTAGAAGTTGTTATCTGGCATATTTTAAGTAAATGTCTTGTATTTTAAAAGATTAATTTAGATAAACAAACTTTATATTTAAATAAATTGTGTCGACAAATATAATTACCAGATTATGTATGAAAGAAAAAAATTTCCAGAGTTATTGAAAAAACAATACTGGTAGTTACAACTATTATCGATGAAGCTAATCTTTATAAACAGTCTCGATATTACTTTGACGAATATCTTTCCAACTATTGCAAAATTAATTTTTCTTTTGATTTATTTATTTTATATTTTCAGCACAATATCTGTATTGTAACCGAATGGATTCCGAATGAAGTTAGCTCGACAAGAATCAGGCGAGCTCTGAAGCGCAGTCAGAGCGTCAGATATCTGCTACAAGATTCCGTTATTGATTATATCTACAAACATGAAATCTATGATGCGAGAGCTCCAAATACAACAATGTGAGTCTCGAAAGTCTTGTTTAGATGTCTCTTTTTAAAAAATGAACATAGGTTTTTTTATGATATTTTAATGAATAATAAGTTCTCTGTAAATATTATTTGTAGCCTATATTGTCACAATTTTATATACATTTTGTAAAGAAGACACTATGCTTTATTTTTATATAGCATCTGCCATGGTATAAAAAAATACGATAACATTATGCATAATAGAGATACTCCAGTAGCCTAATGAAAAACTGGTCTGAAATGCAGTCACACAATTAAAACACAAAATTAATGATATATTAATAAAAAAAAAAATTTAATTAGAATTAAAATTTATAAAAGTATATGATAAAAAATATAAAACTATATAATCATGAAACTGTTTAAAAAATCTAATTAAACTAGATTTGATAAATTATATTATTTAATTTCAATCTATCAGCTAATCATTTAACGAAAATATTGATTTTAATTGTATTGCTTTTCGTCTCTTCTTGATTGATCATTCACTGTGCATTTATGAAAATGTTACATCTTACTTTTTTATGTCATGGTATTAATTGTAAAGCAATCTTGATTGTACAAAGAGGTATAGGCTATTTAAAAAAGACTATGTATATATAATTCAGCCATATATAATATTGCCAAATTTCGACAGGCTGATGTACAATATTCTGCTATATAATATTCTTTAATCTAGTCTTCTTGCCTGTCAAAACGCACAATACTTAATAAAGAAGAATTTATGTTTTGTTTACTATAATTAATTCAAATATACAATGTTTTGTAAAGAATTCGTTCTGTTTATTACAATTAGTTTAAGAATTTTATTTGAGTATGCATTTAATGTTCAATAAATCTTGTTATGTATATATATATATATTTTTTTTTTTTGTTTAAACGAGCTTCGTCAATTTAATTAGTGTTTAAATTCTCTGTGTTTTATTTTTATTTATTTTTTTTGTGATATGCAATATGTATACCGTAAAATTATTCTTTGCATATTTTTGATAAAATAGTGTTAAAGAGAGAGAAAAAAAAATATGTGTGTGTGTGTGTGTGCATATATGTCACCTCTTTAGTAGGTTGTGTGAATTTTTTTAAATTTTATAGTATTAAAAAATGTTGCTATTAATAAATGTTGTTATTAATAATGATATATATATAAGATTAATCTATAAAGTAATAGATTAAAATTTATTTTTGTATACTATATTTTAATCTCGATATATTTTTTTAAAGCTCAAGAGAATTTATGATATCTATTAAGGGTTCAAGAATTTATAATATCTACTAAAGAGTTGACATATAACATTTAACATCACACAATTAAGTTATCATTAAGATTACCATTGACTTTAAATAATTCTATTCACTGACAGGGCACAAAAATTAAAATTATTGCTATTACATTTATCGAAATAATACTTAAGATTTTACTATTGACAATAAAGTTAAAAGTACAAAGTCTTGCCCGTTTAATTTTAGATTAAGATTTCAAGTCAGTGAATCGAATTCGGAGGAGACAGTTCAACTATTCAGTAATTGCGTGAAATCGTTGCGATTCCATTCATTTCATTTATTGCATAAAGGATGTGGTGAATAAAGCCAAACTTGCAGATATATGTGAGGTCCCTCTTATATAGTCGAAATTAAAATATATATCATTATAGTAATAGAATCATTAATTTCTATTAAATTATTGTATAATGATATATTAGATCATGAAAAATTGAAGAACATTATTAAATTTTTCTAATTACATGTATATTTTGTTTCCGCGGAGATTTGAAAATTAATTGATATAAGATTTGATATTTTATATGCAACAATGTAAAAATTCACAACTGCGAGAGTAAAGAAATTGTGATGAGATCGTAACGAGTTCGCATTACTGAATTGTATTATATGAAAGTGCGACTAAACAAACTGAATGTCCTTTAAAAAGAATTGTCGTGTTTTTCACGCTGCCGCTGCCTTGGACACCAAAGTAAGTTGGAACTGCCGTCACCGAACGCGAACAATTACCTGCACATAGATCCCCGATATCTAACCGCGTTTCTAACGCCGTCACCCAGCGATGTGACTATGGACTCGCCGAGCCCGATCGAGATTGCCGCGTCCATTGACGTACCGGACGCGGTGGTGCTGCGCAAAAATCTGCAGAACGCGGGCAGTGATGGCGGGCTCGACGAGATTCGCGAGCACATCATAAGCGCGATCAGCAACAACGCCGACAACGGTAACGTCAAGCATATAGCTAGAGCCGCGTATCCCGGTCAGGCGAAACAAGTCATCGCCAGCGAAACCGGCGTCATGCGAATCGTAGACGAGGTAGGTCCGCTTGACGAACCGATGGCGAAGCTTCAGTCTGGTTCTTCGCCAGAAGAAGGTCACAGGCCGATAGTAGATAGTGTCGCGAAGAGTAAAGAAGCATCAGATCTTAAATCTAAGAGTGCAGATTTAGGTTCGAACGAGATAATAATGCAGATTCAAGCTAGCCAGTTGAATTCTAGTGAACCAACGTCAATAGAAGATTGTAAATTATTAATAGGAAGTATAGGTAAAGATAAAATTGAGATTGGACAGAGAGAAGTGTCAAATTTGAGGTCCAAGACAGAAATTGCTGTTTTAGATTTAGGTTCGAACAACGATCGCGAGATAATAATGAAGATTGAACCTAGTCAATCAAGTTCCAGCGAACTTCGACTGGGAGAATGTTGTTGGCCTACAAAAGAAAGCACTGTGGATGATAAAATTAAAATTTGCGATCGAAAAATCACTTCTGAAAGGGAAATAATCGATGTAGAACTAGGATTAGATGATAAAACCACTTTTATCTCGAAGGAGAGACATAGGTCGACAGTAGATGCGATCAATGACAAAATAGGTGCGGACCGATCTAGTTTTAGTAAAATTAAACCGGAAAAGAGTCCCGAGTTGACGGTGAAAAATGTCGCGAAGGAGAAAGTTGATGTTAGCAATAAAAAAATCAATGCTAAGAAAGAAATAGTCGATATAGAGATAGATTTCATTGATGCTGATGATGTTGTGAAGGTTCAGCCTGTTCATTCCAGTCATAGTATCGTTAGGTTACAGGAAGATCATAAGTTAATGATAGAAAAACTCACGAACGAATTTAAAAGTAAATTTGACAAGGAAAAAAGTGAGTCTAAGGAAAATTTACAGCTGGATAAGGTAGGTCAAGATGATACAGAATTAATCAGGCTTAATTCAGAGAGAAAAAATAACGTTGAAATCGATGACGCGGGAATCGTTTCCGGGGAGGAAATAGCCAATCTTGAAATGGATAAAGTCGAACATCTAGAAGCCAAGGCGACCACTTCATCACTAAATATTTCTACCACATCATTAGATGGTCGTCACGAATGCGCTCTCTCCGATTTCAGCGTAGACAAAGAAGATTATCGACTTAATCAATATGGTTTCAACGAAGATGAAGGGGAAAAAGAATCTGTATATATCTCCAGATCGAGTTTGATAAAATATATTGACGATCAAGGAGAAGACACGATAGATGAGTTTGCAAGCGATGACAAGACTATTACCAAAGAAAGCGATATTAAAACATATAGTAGTCAAGTATTGGTCAGTGCAATGATTCATGAGAATCACGAAAAAGAATCTAAATATTTCACAACCGAAGAGATTGATAACCGTGCGAAATCTTCCGAAGAACTAGATCAATCGAAATTTATCGTAGAATGGTCTCAAGCTGAGATAGAAGCGGACGAGAAGATCAACGTTGAAAACGGAGAACGAGCCGAAGAAGTATCAAGGATCTCGCGAGAAATTGATAAGATGAGCAAAATGGAAAAAGAATCAGAGTTTGATACGCAATCTTCGGAGAGGCGAACTACATCTTGCGATTCGAGTCTCGAGATAGACGGAAAATACCTCAAATCGATTGTAAATTCGCGCAAAAGTCCAAGGAAGATCAGGGTAGATCAGATTCGTGACTTCGAAATCAAAGAGCAATATACATTCATTGATGAACCGGAGGCGATTCAATCTGAAGAATTGCAAAATTCTTCCACAAAGACGAAGAGTTCCGAAAGAATCAAGGAGGAACAAATTTACGATATAGATGCTGATGTTGAAAAGAAAGATAAAATTTTTGAGAATCAAGAGACTTCTCGTGCAGAAAAAGTCTTCCAAGGCTCTTCAAGATCGGCTTCCGTAAAAGGAAAGAGTTCTAGAAAAATCGAAGAACCTCAAGTTGACGAAGATGAGCGCAAATTCAAGGATCAAGATAAATCCATCAACGATCGAGAGGCATTTCGATCTGAGAAAGCTTCTCAAAAGTCTTCAAAAATATCCACAAGCGCAAAGAATCCCAAGAAAAGCAAACAAAGCCAAATATTTTACAGAAGCAACGAAATGAAGAATTACGATCGATCTATTAACGATCGCGTTATTTCTCAATTGGAGGCAGTCTTCCAAGATTCTTCGAAGACAAAGACGGAAATTCCCAAGAAAGGTCCCGAAAACTGTATCGAATTGAAAAAGCAAACTCGACTTGCCGATAAAGAATTCTCTCGATCCGAAGAATTCTCTCATCATTCTTCCAGAACGTCTTCCACGAAGAGCCCGAAAAAGACTCAGGATCAAAAAACTGTGAGACTGAACGATGATAAAATGCAACAAGGACAAGAAACGATAAAAACGACGAAAGATGCCGATAACAGAACGAAACGTGATTTCAACGATATTAAGGATGTGTACACGAGGAAGGTGCGGCGTTACAACGTACCTCTTCAGGGTAGCTTGGACTCGATGATCGTACCTGACGAATCGTCCGCGCAAAAGCCGAAGAAGGATGACGCGTTTTCAAAGAAGTCGAAGAGTTATGAGTCGATCAAACGCATTCAGGAAGTGTTTCTGGGCGTGCCGTCGACAAAGACGAACAGTAGCAGTTCGCAGCTCGACATTCCGGACGAATTCTGCTCGATTTGCTGTTACATGAATGAGATCACCTTCCGAACAGAAGAGGAAGTGAGCAGCCCGAATCAGGAGACGTTTTACACGCTCAGATCGACCTGTAGCTCGCTAGCTGACGATGACGAGGACAACGATTCGATCGAATGCGACATCTGCAGTTCGCTTAATCTCCAGGAGTCCACTGACGACCTCGAGGGCAAAATTCAGGAGATTCCCTGCGAACTCTGCAGAATTTGCGGCGAGGTGGACGGTAGTTTTGATCAGGATTCCATGCCGATAGATAGATATGCTTTCAAACTTGTCGAGCAGCATCAGGATGACGACGATAGCTTCGAGATCGAGAACTGCGGCTTTCAAAGTGGCACCGAATCGGCTGATGATCGAAGTAGACTCTCGGAGAAAGAAAAGATCAAAGATACCGGAAGACCAAAGTCGCAGTCCTTATTCATCCACGGTTCCTCGATGATCAGGGATCAGCCGCGAGAGTTATACTTTATACCCAAGGATGAGATTGCCATATTGACGAGCGGAACTAGAAAAGCCGGTCGGAAGGGCTCTCTATTCAGGAAGAAGGAGGATTCCGATGGAAGCGGGCGAGATAAAAGACGATACTCTTCAGTAGACAGTCTTCAACTGGCAAAAATGTCTCCGAAGGCGAGTGACAAAGCGCTCAAGACCGCAAAGGATCCGACACTGATTGGATCTGCCGATAATTTGCTGATAACGAAAGATTCAAGAAGATCCAAGTCCCTTCAGAGATCGACTGATAATGTGGACCGCCTGAATTTGTCCACCGATAATCTAGACTTGGCGGAAAATCTAGGAAAGGTAAGCGAAGTTGAAGGATCGGCCGAGAAATCAAATATCCGAGACAAGGAAGCGGTGAAGATGATTCTTACGCAGCACGGAATCAAGGTCATCAGCGAGAAGGAGACTGCCTTATAACTGGCCGAGTATTCGTAAATGGCTCGATTTGACGAGGGGTTGATGGAATATTTTGAGCAGTTTGAAAATTAAAAATTAATTGAGAAATTCAATATCTGCGAAACAAAAAACGCGTTAACGTCTTGCACCAAATTACATAGATATGTGACAGCAATCTTATAGAGAGAAAGAAATTTTTTTTTTGGATTACGTACACCGAATGAATAAATATGAAGAAAATGCGCAAAATTTTTTTGTAGTGACTTAGAATCCAAAATATATACAGGATGACATAGAAATTTAAAAAAAGTTAAATAATGGAGTTAAAACAATATTAGGAAAGTTTCATCGGTTTTTAAACACAAGTATTTCCGCACGTGTACAATTACTTCGATAAAAACCGATAAAACTTTTATAACAAAAGGGAAAAAGAAAGAGAAAGATGATATATATATATATAATTTATATCTAAATATAT